CACACACACACACACACACACACACTCTCACTCACACACACTCTCACTCACACACACACACACACTCTCTCACTCACACACTCTCACTCACACTCACACACACACACACACACACTCTTCAGCTGTGCTGTGCTGCTCAGGTGTGGAGATCATGTGACGGTGAGTGGAGGTCCTCTAGTGGCCACTTTATCTATTTGCGTTTGTAGATTTCAATCTTTAAAGAGTTCTTTCTTTTACAAACAGCAAACTTTACAGATTTATTCCTCTCTATATTCTACACATATTTTACTCCTAAAAACATGGTAAAAATGTGTTTGTTTTCTGTCTGTTGGCAGTATCTTCTGATTTATGGAGTGATAAAAACAGAAATCCAGAATCCCCTCTGGAAAAAACCTGTAACTCTAATATGACGACAAAATCAAACAGGAATTATGAACCTGAATTTATCCAATCTTCAGATTTATGTGCTGCGAATGTGTGCAAATGAAATGAGAGATTAACATATTAAAGCAGTGATAACATTTAAAGAATATTAAAAATATGTATATTGACTAATCTTTATGTACAACATCATTTAATATTTCAGCTCATTATTTATGGTTGATTATTCCCTCCTCCTCAACAGTGACTCCTCCTCTCACCGCAGAGGCCACACCCACTGCCCCGCCCCCTCCGCATTAATCGCCACCTCCTCACCCAGCATTCAGTGTTTGTAATATATTGTTGAATAAACGTGTTTGTAACATGTAGAAAGTCCACTTTAGTTTTATTGTATTTGTACAAGCGTCTCGCATTACTGACGAAAACATGATTGACATTCTTTTTGCTTCCAACAAATGAATTAGTGCAATTTAATCACTGGAAATCACCAAGTTGGTTGCTAGCATCATTTGAATTTATTCATAATATTTTTGGATTCCAGGTTATTTTTTTATTTAATTTAATTTTTTATTCTAAAACCATATTGTATCTGCTCAGCAACTTCCCATTAGTGAGTGAATGTGAAAAAATTAAATAAAATCAATACTGATGAGAAATTTTATTTGAATTTATCATTGTATGAAATTTATAAGAACATATAATCTGGGAATTACCAAAGGAATATTCTAATTTATTACTCGTGATTAGTCCAAATGACTGAATCCTACATGTTTATTTCTACCAAAACAACTTAAATATTACACTGAAAAGTTTTCAAACTAAAATGTATTTTACTTGAATAAACTTTTACTTTCAGATGATGTGTGATGAGTTTTTCATGCTGTAATCATTCGTCAATACGTGTACGTATTCATATTTTATCAACAAAATGCAGTTCAAAAGTGTGTGAGATATGGGGAAAAGGGTAAATATATTTTACAAACTTTTTTTGACACTAATATAACTTCATAAAGGATTTTATAAAATGTATTTTGACACCTAATGGGACAAAACTTGAACACAAAAAGTGCAACTTTAAAAAAAAAAAAAATGGTTATATCGTAAAAAATCATAAAAAAATTAAATGTGTATTTTAAGGTTTTGTTTACTTACAAAAAAAATGCATTGTTTAGAATTTTTTATATCTCTCTTCCAGGTCAAAATGGACCCGAATGCATTATGAGGGTTAAACCAGTTGTGCTTAACTAACTCGATTAACTAACAAGATTCTCTGCAAACCGTTTCTCCATCTTGACGGACTGTAAATGTGTTTTCAGGGAAGTCTGCTGCACTTCTGTCGCTGGAGCACATCAAGTTGTGTTTGCATTCACGTTTAATCGCATTTGTGCAACAGCCAGAGTATGTGGAAACATCTCTGCATCTGCTGCGTTTAAACCCTCGGAGGAGTCGCGTGCGTGTGTGTGTGTGGGAGGGAAAGTTTGATGTGTGTGAGTGTGTCTAAAATAAGCAGTCAGCACTATGTCAGGCTGAAGACAAAGGCAGTGTTGTAAAAGTGAGTGTGACTGTCAGGATTGTTGCAGCTGCTGCGTCTGTCGCATGCAGACAGGTGCTGTGTGTGTGTGTGTGTGTGTGTGTGTGTGTGTGCTGAGGCACAATGTATCGTTCTGTGTTTTTTTTCTCAGAATTGCAAGATATAAACTTAAAATTGTGAGGTAAAAAGTCGCAATCACCTTTTTCTTTTTTTTAAAGCATATAAATGCACAATTCTGAGAACAAAAGTCAGAATTGCAAGATGCTAGGCCCAACTGAGAATATTTTGCAATTCCGAGTTTAAATCTCACAATTCTGTTTTTTTTTCTGAGTTTATTACTCAGAATTTTGAGAAAGAAATATGAGATAAGTCACATTTAAAAAAATGTATATTATAATATATGTATTTAATGAATGTATAAAAATGAAACATGTATCAACAGTACAGTAAGAATCACAACAAACCGTGTTTACGCAAAGTAAAATAGTTCGTTAGTGAACTCTATGCTGTTTATGGTTGCCAGGCAACGTAGCGCTTTAATACAGAATGGCTTCACACGTGCATCATCCAGTCAGAATTTAGATTTGA